TATATTAAAATAAACACAAGTTAATTTCTTCAAAATATTTTTTACAAATTTCGACTAAACGTGACTTAATTGCAATGGAGATTTATTCAAAATAAATAGAATTATAAAATAGAACTTTGAGATTAAAAAGTTGTATACGTAGAGTATAAAAAAAATCAATTCTTATTTTGTGGAAAATAAATTTTTTCAGTGCCCCCAACACAGTCTTCAAAATAATCGATCCGTTTACTTATACAAGCGCTGTCTATAAAAAAACCGAACTTTAAAAAAAGCGCCCGTGACAATGACGTCGGGCCATCTGCTTTGTGGCACTGTGTAATGGGATTCTTTAACAACTTTCTCTCACACCACAAAAGATTTCAAGAAATACAAAAAAATACCAGTCGTATATCAAAATTGCTAGATCTCATGCGAAATTCTACACAGGTAAAAATATGTTTAATTTTCTCGCACGAGATTAGTGAGATTCGCATGTATGTTTTGCCTCGATGTACGGTCGTGAAAAATCAATCACTGAGAATGATATATGTTCCCGACGATCGCGCTCCTCGTGCGAGATGTGTCAAATTATATGGCATTCGCGATGTTCATACGACCTCGACGTATCACCTAATTGATGGCTTAGCCCTTAAAGATAACGATCAGTGTGGGCGTTATTACGTTAACGACCTCGCTGATGTGTCGAAAATGCGACTCCGCGTCGCCGGATACCCGCGAGATCGATTTGTCATAACGACGACTGTGTGCGAGTTCGGGGGATTACGACTTACCGAACGACGTACAAACAACGAGAACGGAAGGGGGAGGGAGGGTTTGGTGGAGCTCGGATTTGTTGTATACTACGGGCAGTTGAGCGAAATTACATTAACGTGGCTAATGATAGAAAGAACAACAGTGCAGTTCCGTGGATACGCAATCTATCATAATATCTTCTCACGTGGGATTTTGATTCATTTTTCTACGAGAAAGTAGATAAATTACATCATCGTGCTCGATAAAATCAGAATATGCCCTGAAAAAATTAAAATTCAATGTTTCTGAAATGAGAAGAGATATTGAGTTTTCTTTAAAAAATATGCGAATATTTTTAAGTTGTATTCAATTGCGACAGATAAATTTCTGAGATCAGATATTCATCGGTTTGCCACATAAACTTATCGATACATCGATTTCTTCACAATATTTCGATTTCACTAAATGATGTGTGTGACTCGATTATCATTCTTATACAAATTTTGCGATCAATGATTGTTGTGCTAGTTGTTGAGAAAGATGATACGTAACGAACAAGATTGCGCATCGCTGGTCGAAATCCACGCACCATTTTACATGGAAGAAAAATCCGAACTCTGCTTATATTATTACTAATCTCCTTATCCGCGATCGTCCGCGAGGGAGAGTTTCCGCAAGCTCGACAGAGAGGCGCGCGCTCTCTCCCGCTTTCCCGGACGATTGCAAAATCGATTGTATGGCACAAAGGGCGACCCTCAGTTACAATCTCCGACCGTTTCGATTTAAGTCTTATTACGTGCGTCCCTCTCGCTTACTTATCCATATATTACATCACACGACCCTATTTACAGCGTGATATATAATACATACATACGTACCAAGTTCTATAAAAATCGTCTCGCGACTATGGTAGCATAGCTTCGGTATACAAAACCGCTGTAAGTTCGTTGAGAGATTTTTCTTGAGTGTGGGCGTGATTACGTGCGGCCGCTGTTCCTACAGTCGTACTGGTCGATAATTTCCAGCTGGCGCACGAGTGGTGATCGGTTTAAAGAACCTCGATTAATATTAGGTCTTGTTTTTTTCCTAACAAGGTCGCGTTATAGATTTCACACAAGGAAACTGTTTGCTCTGACACAAATCTCGTTTGACAAAATTATATATAAAATATTATTCATAAATACATCAATATTACTTTCCATATTGTCGACATTCTCGAGGTGAATGCCTAACAGGGGATTTCTTTCACTGACTCACTGCTGGTCACCAGAAATCTAGGTTGCGCAAATCAAAGGTTCCAGAAGTCGGCAAAAACGTTACCGGCCAGTTGTCGATATGCTTTATGAAACTCATTTCGTTTAGCGAGATTCTGCCGAGGGTATAACAGTCAAGTATACAGTGAATACAAGATATACAGTGAGAGTAGATTGTTCGATCGACGAATATCAAGGTCGGTAACACAGTCTCCGCAAGATATGTCTCTATCTATATTAAAAAACGAAACTTAAAAATCCGTCGACAGCTTAGTAATCCAAGAAATAAATATTACCAGTAATACACGTCTACTTTCTTGGTACTCGTCTGTTAATTCGAATTCGAGTCCTGTCACGTGTTTGCTTGCATAATAGAGATCATACTTTTTCTGTCGTGGACAATTAAATGGATAATATAACATAAATGCTTGCGATAGTCCTTAAAACTATTCCAATTTTATCCGGAAAAACTTCTCCTTCTCTCCTCGCTCGAGCATTCTTATTTATACACATTTATAAGTCGATTTTTTTAACATATCGCTACACGTTCTCGTTGCAATATTGCAGCAAAACAATGTCGTGATTATATGATTCTCCCCTTCTTCATCCTTGCCAACGATAGATTATACACTCCTCGAGAATTTTCGCGCGAATCCCGAAAAATGGACGACACTTTTGCAGACATACAAAAATCCGTAGTGTATAAGTCTGTTTTAACAGCTCCCAGTAAGTGCTTGTCGTTAAAGTCAGCCCGACAAATCTGCGATTGCACTGTCACTACCTACCGTAATTCGGGATGCGATATAAATGGCACAATTTTCTTCGTGTTCAACATAATTTACAGCGGCTCGGTGTAAGAGACGAGTAAGGCTCTGCCGTAAGTCTGCGCGTCTTCCCGTCTCGTCAAATTTAAAAGCAATATTTTCGCGTGCTTACTTCCGGTACCGGGCTCAAGGACGGGGGTCGTCCCTCGCGCGGGACAACCCCTTCCTCTTGTCAGCCGTAGTAATAGCTTTTGCTGTTGAGGCTCCTGGGATTCTCCGCGCGTAGGATCGTGTGAAGATTATCCGTGCCAACCATGTGATTTCCAAGATCGACCCGCATCCCCGTGTTGGTCGCATGAGGCACCGACGCGACGTGGATGCTCGTTGGCGACAGAGGTATCCTTGTATCGGCATAGTAACGTTCGCCGTGAAGCCTCTCGGCCAATTGAGTTTCGGACAATCTACAAGAGATAACGCATCAAGAGTTAAGAGAGAGACAAAATTGTGGTAAAATATTCGAGGCTTTATTCACATTATCAAGGATAAAATTAAAAAAAAAAAACGCCATACAAATTATTTATTCGAGATTAAAATATTCGAGATTGAAAATTCTCAAAACAGATTTTCGATTTCAATTTTCAACTAGACATTTTTCACCGCGTTTATTTTAGCGTGTCTTATAAAACTTATCCCCATATAAGATGACAAAGATTATTGAAGATCTAAATACGCTTAAGAGAATTACTCAGATCTTATTAATTCACTTAATAATCAAAAAATTCATTTTTTGTTTAAAAAAAAAAAAATTACCTTGCGTCTTGCATTGGTACTGCAACTGGTGTGGTAAGATCGATATCCGCATCAATTTCGGAAATATCGTCGGTGAATCCATTTGGAAGAGTCTCGTTATTCGCATGGAACTTTGCATCCCTCTTGGCGCGATGCCGGCTGACTAACAGGCGGCCAATAACCAGTCCCAGAAAGAGCAAGATACCAGCGCTGACCGATACGATAATGTAGAGGTAAAACTTCTCTTGGTTGTCTGCAGGCATCATGTTAAACGTACACCTTAAATTTTCTTTCTGGTTTTTATTCCCCGTAAAATATCGAAAAGCAGATTCAAACATCATAGTCATAATGGAAAAAAACAAAATATAAATATCAATAAAAGCTTTTATCCGTGTTTGTTTTTATCCAATTTGTAGATCTACATGGTGTTTATGTATACAGATAAGCGTGACGCGACATTCAAAGAAAGCTCGAAATTGTGAATTAAAAGTAAAATTCGACTAACATGCTACACCACCTATTGTTACTAGAAACAATGCCAAACACACAATGCATATATTTGCCAAACAGGAATCAATAATTATCATTTCAACATGACTCTTTATATGTTTTCAAAAATTGAAAGACTAAAATACAAATCGATCAATTTCAACTTTAGTTCAAGTTTGAGTACAATAAGCATAGAGAAAAATAGTTTTATACTATTTGTGATAATTTAAAATTAAAAGATATACATCTCCATACTTTTGACATTTAAAATTGAACTAATTTCGATATCAATCCGTGCATAATCAAAAATGATTTCTTCTTTTTTCACGCAGGATGCTCAGACAGTTAAAATATCATTCGCCAACCTCGCTCGTGGAACGAACTACCCTGTCGTATCCAACCCTGGCATAAATCGAGGTTGATTTGCAACAGCATACTTTACCAGCTGAAAATACAACGACCAACCGATGGTGTACTCACTCGTGATGAAGGAATATGCATTGATCCACTCATTGAGGTATCCCACCACTAGGCGATCCTCCTCTTCCGGAAACGCGTAGACGACGGTAGTGCAGTTTCCGGATGCGCCGACGGCGCCCGGCGTAGTTGCGGCATTACCAACCCCGTTGTCGCTCGCCATTGCAACCCCCTGGATAACCGTGGGCGGTAAAGGCGATAAGGGTAAATGTTTCGCCCCGATACCGAGCGATTTTAACATGTTCAACCGCGCGTTCACTGTGCACGCGAGAAAACAAAACGTATTCAAACGGCACACATGAGGGGAGGAAGGGAACGAGAGTTTGCGATTGCATGAGACTTTGAGAAAGCAGACATTGGAAACATTATAATCTGGCCGAATTCATTTTTCGATACTACATATACATATGAGAGAAAGAATCTCCAAAATTGGCGTTTCCAGTCTGTTTCTTGAAAAGCCAAGATATTTTTTTATATGCATATATTTTTTATAGTATCGAGATCTAGACTCGCAGAAATTATATTGAATTCAATGTCAGGATTCGAGAATAAAAGCGTCAAAGTGAAATCTGTATAAATTATGTAGCAAATTTACAGCGATGACAGATGTAGGAAAGTGTCTCGTAAAGAATAAAACATTACATATCATTAAATCAGTAATGACATCTCAAATAAGTATTGTGTTAGATATATCGCAAAATTTTACAGTTTAGA